CTGATCATTTTTACGAGAGTGCGTCCAACCATGTCGCTAGTTTGTATTTCAGCCAGAGACCAGCCATGACCTCCATCACAATCAGAATACTTTAATAATCCCAAAGGAAATTATATCTAGAAGCGTAGTTGCTCCAGACAATAGGATAAAGATGGGAAATATTAAAATGGCCAAAGGAAAGGACTTACTGATGGAACTGAAAAGCTTAATGACAGAGTAGTTGAAGTGAGGAGGATGGTTTGTGTCTATAAATAATCATCAACTTTGTTGAGAGTTTTGATTTGATTTACACGTTAAACCAAATTAATAAATACATTTTTAGCTGCTGATCATGAACTGCAGCCGGCAGTGGTGGTGATTTTAAATGGTTTTAACAGTTTCTCATTGCCACAATGGTAATCCCTGTCAATACTCAAATTACCCTTCTTAATATTTAATTAAGCTTTAAGCTAGATTGAAAAAACATCCATGCGTAGTCGTGAAATTACGTCCTGTCCCTCGTTCCCTCAACCCCCTCCTCTCTCGGCACTTCATAACCTATGGAACTCAAATATGGAACTCAAAAGTATTCAAAATTCAATAAATAAACAAGACATTATGAAATAAATATCTACATGAAGAAACACTAGACAGTCGTGTAATCTGGCAATAAAATGATGAAATAACATTAGTATAAAGTTTTTTTCAAAATTCATTTTTTCATAATAATCCAAATTAATATTGAGCCATATTTATTTAATTCATTCAGTTTTTATTACATAACGTCTTTTTAACAAAGACCGCTTTTATTTCATAATAGTGTTTTTTTTCCCATGGCTGATTTAGTTCATAATGACACTTTACAGCAGAATGTCTCAGTCCTCAGTCAAGCCAGTGGGTGTGGCCTGCATGTATTTCTTCATGTAGATATTTATTTCATAATGTCTTATTTATTTATTGAATTTTGAATACTTTTGAGTTCCACATTCCTTTAGTATTTTCTTTTTGTGCTTGCTCGCTATATATCAATTTGTGTGCCATCCATGGACGTAGTTGAGGGGACAGGGGGACACATGCCTCCCAACCCCCACCCCCTCCTTTTTTTCCAAATACAATTTTTGTCCCCAGCACTTTCTACCATCCAAAAACAATAATATTAAACAGACACTGGTTAAACATTAAGACCGAGAGGAAAACACCTGCTTGTGTTGAAGCCTGTTTCCCATTCATATTACATATTTCCTGCATACTTACTGTAAGGACCCCCCACCCCCACCCCCACCCCACCATCACCCCATACTGATTGTGCCCTCCCCTCCCACTTCTCAAGTCAAAACTACACCCCTGGTGCCATCTATCCAGCTCCAGCAGCCCGTCAGTGCATTTAACCACTGCTTGGTCAGATGCTGCTGCTATCAGTTGGAAACGTGCATGGTGTCGGATAACTTGTTTCTGTCATGAATTTAAAAAAGCTCACAGCAGAAAATAGTCCAGATCCGCTTCATTCTGCAGCGCTGCACTTCCTTTTGTGCTACAACAGCGCCGTCTGCTGTTTATCAGAGGGAGCTACAGGCTCTGCATTGCAGACCTGAGCTGAAAAATCACACCAAGTTAGCTGCTTTAACTTGACAAGACCTGCATAAATGTAACCCGAACCTTAATCTTTTAGAAGTATTTAAAAACTAAAGTGCTTCTATCCATTTAAATGTCATTTTCATTAGAGGCTTAATTTAGTTAAGCTATATATTTTTTTCATGTCCTTTATGTTGAAAGCTTCACTTGATACTTCATATATTTGGATTTTGTTACACATTAAAAACATGAAAATCTTAAAAACTAAACATTAGTGCTGTGGGTGTTTTTCTAATGGAATATCTTTAATACCAGTCTGCAGGACAGTGAGGGATGCAACGTGTCCCAGGCTGCAGGAAGTGTTACAACTATAATACAACGTTCATTTGAATCAGTTCGCAGCCAAGTGTGAATCAGCCGAAATGGGAATTTGAGACCGTGGTCTAGAGTGGGAAAATGGTAGAATGCCTTCTCTGGGTTCCCTGATTGAAAAACAATGAGTGAACGCTATAACAGTAATATTGTGGTCCGCTCTGCCTTATGCCCTGATTCACAAATATGTTGTGCTTCAATGTATATTATGAATACCGTAATTATATTTGTTTCAACTATATGTCTGTCATGTAATCCGAGATTTTTTCACTTGTAAAAATGTTTAATTAAAATGATGACAAATCCATTCATCTGTCCATTTTCGGCTGCTCATCTGGGGTCGAGTTGCGAAGGCAGCAGCCTAAGTAGGGAGGTCCAGACTTCTCTCTCCCAGCCACTTGGGCTCATGGACGTAATTTTCACTTTAGAAGTGGGGGGGGGGGGACACGGAGGGGGGGGGGGGGTATCTTTACAGTATGTTCTAATGGGAAACAGGCTTCAACACAAATGGTTGTTTTCTGCTTGGTCCTAGAGCTCAACCAGTGTCAGTTTAATATAGCGTAATATTGTTTTTGGA